CTAGATGGCAGCTTCCTAGCTTTTAAGGTCCCAGTCGCTACTCGCCAAAGTAGGAGTTGGAACAATGTTTTGTATAGTATGTTATGCCAATTGAGCTTGATGTCCATTAAGGGGTTTTTTGATTAGTCAATAAAGATTTCTGGTTTAGAGATTTGCCAGCCAGAAAGGGTTATTTCTCTTTCTCTTCTTCCTTTAAATTAAAGCATTTTTCCTTTTCATGGAAAATAAAATATTGACAAGTGTTGAGGATAAAAGCTACCTCATTTTCTAAAGGCCACAGACTGACTGATTAGTTATTTACTTTCTTTAAAATAATAATAAAAAAAAAAACTGGCAAAGAATACCAGTATACAATGTTTCATTAAAATACAAGCTCGGAAGCTTTGTTTTGTCCACTTTCATACAGTCCGCATTTTGAATATACCTGACACATTTTAGGCACTCAATAAATATTTATGGACTGAATAAATTTGATCTTTGCTTACCTTTCAACCACATTTCTCACCACTCTACCTACCTCTTTCATCCATTTTTGTGCCAAGCTGATCTCTTGAGCACATCAAGCTGTTTAAACTAAGTGACCCTGCACAGGATACTCTTTCTGCCCGGATGCCCTTGGCCTGCCCATTCTTCATTTCTACCACCTTAGCCTAGTTAATTCCCTTCAAGATTCAGCTCAAACAGCTGTGCCTCTACCTTGGGCTACTACCACCTCTTCACCACTCCAAACTCTAAACCCGTTGCCACTCAGTCAATTCTGATTCTGATTAATAGCAACCCCGTAGGACAGAGCAGAAGAACTGCCTCAGGGTTTTCAAGGTTGTAATCTTCATGGAAGTAGACTGCCATATCTTTCTCCCATGGAGCAGCTGATGGGTTTGAACTACCAACTTTTCGATTAGCAGCTCAGCACTTAATCACTGTGCCACCAGGGCTCCAGACTCTATCAGGCACTTAATACATTGTGCTGCAATTCTTGACTTGTCTGTCTCTTCCACCAGTCTGACAGTGAACTGCTTGAGGACAGGGAGCAAGTTTTTACTTATGTATTCCCAGTGCCCAGCACAGTGCTGGGTACACAGAATCACTCAAATACTTGTCCAGTAAATAACCACAGGGTATGAAATGGAAGCAGTGCTACTTTATTAAGTTAAGCAAAAACACAACAAACAACAACAGCAAAAATCCCATAAAGTTAGAGGTGGTGGTGGTAATAAATAGAAAAGAAACTTTACTTCAATCAAATCCGCTATAAAAATATTCAGAATTAATGTAGAATCTGCAAAACACCACATAACGTGGATGAACTTGGAGGACATTATGCTGTGTGAAATAAGTCAATCACAAAAGGACAAATATTGTA